CGTCGACGCGAGCGCGAGCTTCGACGCGCGCGCTTCGGCCCCGCGTCGAGCACTCGACGAGAGCCATCGATTCGTCCGAAACTCGGCCAAAACGACTTCGACGCGACCGAGCTCGAGCGCCTCGAAGTTCGGTCGGGACGTCCGAAACCGGCGGTCGACTCGCGCGCAGGTCGGCCTCCGCGGCTTCGAGAAGCTGCTCGCGGCCGTCGCCGCGCACGGCGGCGCCGGCGTCGACGGCGGCGACGGCGGCGCGGCGCCGGCGCCGCGCGCGCGGCCGGCGGGCGCCGCCGCGGGCGCCGCGGGCCGGCGGTCCCGCGGCGCGGCGCCCGCGGCCGCGGCCGCGCGCGCGGCCGCGGCGCCGCGCGGCGGCGGCCGCGGCGCCGCGGCCGCGGCGGCGCGGGACGCCGCGGCGCCGCGCGGCGCCGCGCGCCGCGACGACGCGGCCGGCGACGCCGGCCGGGCCTCGCCGGCGCCGGGCGTCGACGTCGCGCGCGCGGCGGAGTACTGGGGCGGCCTCGAGGGCGGCCGCGAGCTCAAGTGGCTCTTCTGGTCCCGCGTCGCGCAGACCGCCGAGCACATGCACCTGAGCCAGGTCTGCTCCCACGCGTCCTTCGTCGGCGAGCTCCTGAGCAACGACGGCATCCGCGAGCTCCTCGTCCGCTACAGGGCAGGAAAAGGGTGATTCAACGTCGCTTCAATGTGAGTGTTTCGCGCGCGCGCGTTCTAGGAAAAGCATCCACGCTTCGAGAGCGCTCCGAGAGATGATCGCTCGTCCAAAAATCAGCCAAAACGAGTGGAAATCGGCCGAGAAAGGAGCCTTTGAAATTGAGAATTTCGCACCCTTTTCCTGCCCAGGTCCGCTACGACGACGTCCTCGCGACCGCGTTCGCGCACTTCTCCGGCGGCAAGGCCCGCCTGGGCTTCCGCGAGTTCCTCCACATGCTGTCCGTCCTCGGCCTCCACCCGAAGATCCCCAACGACGCGAAGAAACGGCGCGGCGGACGAGAAGCGGCGACGGTCGCCGTCGCGGGCTCCGACCTCGGCCGCGTTTTTCCTCGTTTCGGCCGACGTTCGGACGAGCGAGCGATCGTCTCTCGGAACGGTGCGCGTGGCTGGTGCCCCCGGAACGCGCGCGCGCGGAACGCTCGCGCCGACGCGGCGTCGGATCGCTCGCGCGCCGCGCAGGCGTCGAACGACTGGGCGCTCACGCGCGTCTTCCTCCGCGCGCGCCAGGGCGTGCGCGGCGGCCTCCGCCACACCTGCGCCTACGCCGGGCGGAGCGACCGGTGCCACCTCTGCCTCCGCGCGCGCGGCGCGCCGCGCGGCGCGCGGCTCGCGGCGCTCGCGGCCGCGCGCGCCCCCGCGCGCGGAACTCGGCCGCCGGCCCGGGCCGCCCCGACGGAACGTCGGACCGCTCGAGCTCGGTCGACGCGACGTCGCTTCGGCCGACGGCGGGACGCGTCGACGGCTCGCCGCTCGACGCGCGGCGCGCGCGCGCGCGTCGGCGCCGGTCGACGGCCGCCGGGGTCGAGGCGCGGAGGTCCGCGCAGGTTCCGCGAGCACGCGGCGGCGGCGGGCCAGCACAAGCGGCGGAGCCACGTCGGGGACCGCGGCGGCGCGGGCCTCCAGGCGGGCCTCCGCGCGGAGCTCCTCCGCCGGAGCCGCGCGGGGCGCGGCGCGGCGCGCGGCCGCGGCGGCGGCGGCGCGGGCGCCGACGGCGGCGGCGGCGGCGCGACGGCCTACCTGCCCGCGCACCTCGTCGAGCGCGTGCTCCACGACTGGGACCCGAAGGCCTACGTCGGCCGCTGTGTGGAAAACAACCAGCGAGCTGGGACGTCGGGGCCAAACTTCAGAAATCTCTCGCTCGGTCACGTCGAAGTCGATTCGGCTGATTTTTGGACGAATCGATTGCTCTCGTCGAGTTCTCGAAGCACGGCAGAAAACCTCGCGTCGAAACGGTCGCATACGCGGACATTGAAGTCGGGTTGAAGATTTGATTTC